TCAATCAGAGAACCAAAAAGAAAAACAATTAAAAAACAGGAGTATAGCCCTGACCAGTTTGGCTCAGTGTATAGAGACCAAAAAAACAATACAAAAGATCAACAAAACCAAGAGCTGGTTCTTTGAAAGGATAAACAAGATTGATGAACCTCTAGCCAGGCTTACTAAGAAACAAAGAGAAAGGACCCAAATAAATAAAATCAGAAATGAATGTGGTGAAACAACAACTCGCACCACAGAAAACAAAGGATTATAATAAAATACTATGAGCAACTATATACCAACAAGCCAGCCAATGTGGATGAAATGGACAAATTTCTAGAAAAATGCAAAACTGAATCAGAAAGAATCTAAAAATCTGAATAGACCAATAACAACTGACAAAATTGAAGCAGTAATAAAAAAAACTCCCAGCAAACAAAGCCCTGGTCAGGACAGCTTCACAGGGGAGTTTTACCAAGCATTCAAAGAACAACTAACACTTATACTCCTCAAATTATTCCAAAAAATCCAAGAGGAGAGCACACTTCTAACCTCTTTTTATGAGGCCAGCTGCCGGGAGCCGGTCCATCCTTGCTGTTTCAAGGGACCTGGCATATATGGCATACTGTTCTTACTATGTTTGCTCACCTTCTTGGCACTATGTGTTTTAACCAAGGTCACCTCTCTGAGAAAGGTTGTTTCCCCAGGTAGGGATTTTCCCCTGAAGTTAGGGAGGGAATAAAACCCCTTAACTAAGTGCCAGGCGGGTAATTAATCACTTTACCTACGAACAATCATGCTTAAGCTACATAATCTTTACTCCCTGGAATGGAGATAAGAAACGCCCTAACCTTTGAAATAGAGATTGATAGGATTGGAATCAACTGGTATAAATACAGATGTAACAAGACAACAGGACACAGCACCTACACACAGAACCTAGACACAGAACCTACACAGAACCTAGAGACAAAAGAACTTCGCTGGAGAGAACATGGCAAAAGATCCTGGACAGAAACTGGCTACAGAACCTAGAGACAGAACCTAGCGAGAGAACATGGCAAAAGATCCTGGACAGAAACTGGCCACACAACCTAGAGACAGAACCTAGCGAGAGAACATGGCAAAAGATCCTGGACAGAAACTGGCCACACAACCTAGCGAGAGAACCTGGCTGAAGAACCTAGAGACAGAACCTGGCTACAGAACCTGGATAGAACATGGCAAGAGAACCTGACTAGAACCTGGTGACTGAACCTGGCTGGAGAACCTGGACAGAATCTGGCTGGAGAACCTAGCGAGGGAACATGGCTACAGAACCTGGCTGGAGAACCTGGAGAACCTGGCTGGAGAACCTAGCAAGAGAACATGGACACAGAACCTGGCTGGAGATCCTAACCAGAACTTCACTGGAGATCCTGAACAGAACTTGGCTGGAGATCCAGACCAGAACTTGGCTGGAGATCCTGGCTAGGCTGCTGATCAACTGAATGCTGTCTTCGTGTCATTCCTTCTTCACCGACTCCGTCTACACCTTTGGGAACCCCTGGACCTGCTGGGGTTGGACCCCAGCAGCCAGCATTATCTTAATTCCAAGATGAGATATAGGCACTACAAAGAAAGAGAAGTACAGGCCAATATCCCTGATGAACAGAGATGCTAAAATCCTCAACAAAATATTAGCAAATCAGATCCAGCAATATATTAAAAAGATCATACGCCATGATCAAGTGGGATTTATTCTAGGGATGCAAGGCTGGTACAATATTTGCAAATCAATAAATGTGATACATCACAATAACAAATTGGAAGACAAAAATTACATGATCATATCAATAGATGCAGAAAAAAAATTCCACAAAATATAACACACTATTTTGATAAAAACTCTCAGCAAAGTGATCATACCTCAACATAATAAAGTCCATATATTACAGACCTACAGCCAACATCATATTCAATGGGCAAAAACTGAAACCATTTCTCCTTAGAACAGAAACAAGACAGGGATGTCCATTTTCACTACTCTTATTCAACATAGTACTGGAAGTGCTAGCCACAGCAATCAGACAAGAAACAAAAGGCATCCAATTGGAAAGGAGAGAGTAATACTACTATTATTTGCAGATGACAAGATATTATACATAGAAAATCCTAAAGACTCCACTAGAAAACTACTAGATTTAATAAATGAGTTTGGCAATGTTGGATACAAAATTAAAATCCAGCAATCAATAGCATTTTTATACACCAATAATGAATTCTCAGAAAGAGAAACTAAACAAACAATACCATTAACCATTGCAACAAGAAAAAATAAGATACTTAGGGATAAAATTAACCAAGGAGGTAAAATATTTATACTCAGAAAACTACAGGATATTGAAAAAACAGAGGAATATATGAACAAGGGGAAGAATATACTGTTTCATGAATTAACATCATTAAAATGTCCATACTACCCAAAACAATCTGTAGATTTAATGTAACCCCCATTAAAATACCAACAACATATTTCACAGATCTAGAACAAATATTCCAAAAATGTATATGGAACAAACAAACAAAAATACCTCAAATAGCCACAGGAATCTTGAGAACAAAGAATAAAGTTCAAGGGATCAGAATACCAGATACAAGGCCACTGTACTCAAAACAGCTTTGTACTGACACAAGAATAGACATACAGATCAATGGAACTGAACAGAGATCCCAAGAATTAACTCAAGGCATTACACTCAATTAGTATTTGACAAAGTGAGCAAGAGCACACAATGGAGTCAAGACAGTTTCTTCAATAAATAGACCACCAACTTACACCATGGACAAGAATAAACTCAAAATTAATGAAAGACTTAAATGTAAGTTCTGAAACCATAAAAATCTTAGAAAATGCATAGGCAGCAAAATCTCAGACATCTCTTGTAGCAGTATGTTTGCTGATTAATCCCCCAAGGCAGGGGAAACAAAGAAAGATAAACAAATGGGGCTACATCAAAAATACAAAGCTTCTGCACAGCAAAAAGAAACCATCAACAAAATTAAAAGGGAGTCCACTGTATAGGAGAACATATTTGAAAATGATACATCTGATAAAGGTTTAATACCCAAAACTCATACAATTTAACAAAAAGGAAGACAATTCAATTTTTTAAAAGGGGTAAAGGACTTAAATAGACACTTCTCCAAAGTGGACATACAAATGGCCAAGAGACATATGAAAAAAAAAATACTCAAAGTCATTGATCATCAGAGAGATGAAAATTAAAACAACAATGAGGTATCACCTCACACCTGTCAGAATGGCTACCATCAACAAATCTACAAATGATAAGGATGTGAAGAAAATGGAGCCCTTGTACATAGCTGGTGGGAATGCAGACTGGTGCAGCCACTATGGAAAACATTATGGAGTTTCCTCAAAAAATGAAAAATGGAACTCCCATTTTACCCAGTGATCCCACTTCTGGTTTTATATCCTAAGAAACCCAAAACACCAACCAGAAAGAATATATGCACCCCTATGTTCATAGCATTGCAATTTACAATACTTAAGATCTGGAAGCAGCCCAAGTGGATAAAAAGTAGATGAATGGATAAAAATATTAAATGAGTGGATAATAAAGCGGTGGTACACTTACATCATGGAATACTATGCAGTTGTGAAAAAGGATCTCTTACTCTTTGAGTCAGCATGGAGGGACCTGGAGAGTATTATGCTAAGCAAAATACACCAGTCAGAGAAAAGCAAGTATCACATGATCTCACTCTTATGTGGAATTTAATGAGCAAAATAAACTGATGAACAATAATGATCCAGAGACATAGAAACTTGGAACAGACTGTAGAATCTTAAAGGACAAGGTGGGGGAGGGTGAGTGGGTGGAAAGAGATCAACCAAAGAACTTGTATGCATATATACATAACCTATGGACACAGACAATGGGATGGTGAAGGCCTGGGGTGTGGGGTGGGTGTGGGCTGGGAAAAGTCAATGGGAGAAAAAAGGAACATATGTAATACTTTCAACAATAAAGATTTTTTGGGAAAAAAAATAGTCTTTCATTCAGAAAAAATAATGAGCAAAGAAATACAGATGGCTAATAAACACACACAGGAAAAAAATAATTCCATTAGTAGACCAAAATAGCAAATTAAGAGAAGATAATATTTTCAACTACTTAATTAAGAATGATTGCCAAACCGGTTTGGCTCAGTGGATAGAGCGTCGGCCTGCGGACTGAAAGGTCCCAGGTTCGATTCCGGTCAAGGGCATGTACCTTGGTTGCAGGCACATCCCCAGTGGGGGGTGTGCAGGAGGCAGCTGGTCGATGTTTCTCTCTCAATGGTATTTCTAACTCTCTGTCCCTCTCCCTTCCTCTCTGTAAAGAATCAATAAAATATATTAAAATTTAAAAAAAAAAAGAATGATCACGTTCAGCCCAGCCAGCATGGCTCAGTGGTTGAGCGTCGACCTATGAACCAAGAGGTCAAGGTTCAATTCCTTGTCAGGGCACATGTCCTGTTGTGGGCTTGATCCCCAGTGTGGGGCATGCAAAAGGTAGCCAATCAATGATTGTCTCTCATCAGTGATGTTTCAATCTCTCACTCCCTCCCCCTTCCTCTCGGAAATCAATAAAAATATATATATATATATTTTTAATGATCACATTCAGTCTTGACAAGTATAACTAGTAAGACAATTGCTCTCATAGTTTGCGAATGGAAGCTAGATTCATATTATCTCTCTGGAAAGCAATTTTTCAGTACATATTACAAACTTTATTTTTATTTTATTTTTTTTTTTTTTAGATTTAGGAGCCTTTATTAAGCTGGACAGCGACTACAGTTACAGCACCCTGCCGAAGCAAAGGCTGAACTGCAGCCCAGACTACGGGAATTACAGCATTTTTATTTGCAAAAACCACAAAGTTACAAAACCTTAGTTCCCGATACAGTATAGTATCAGTACCTTCCTATATATGTGTTTTAGGAACAGAGAGTACAGCATAACCCGTCTAGCAAAAGCGAAAGATATGCAGCCCTGCACACAAGCTGCTCCTCCAAGAGGGTCCGGACTGAATGTTCGAGAGCATCTCCAGGAAGGCCTGCGGAGATGGTGCCTCCACTTTCTGGAAGGTGTTCTGGACTCTGCCAAACAGGATGAAGTATTTAGTCTCCAGACCGATGAACCCCAAGTGGTTCTCATCGAACAGGATGAAGACTCCAGGGAGGCGCCTGGGGTAGGTGAAGGGATCTAAGGTACCAATGTAAACCCCATAGAAACACATCCTGCAGGTTCGGGGGTAGTTCTGGAGTCTTGAGCGCACGCCCACAGGCAGAACAAACAGAACAGGCTGCTCCTCCGAAGCTGCAGCCCCGGACTCCCCGACGCTGGGCTGGGCAGGGCTCTGCCAGCCATGGCCCTCGCTTTCCTCAGTCCCGTCTTTGCCGGGGTCCAACCCCAGCGGGTCCAGGGGTTCCCAAAGGCGTAGATGGAGTCGGCGAAGAAGGAATGACACAGAGACAGCGTTCAGTTGATCAGAAGCCTAGCCAGGATCTCTAGCCAGGATCTCCAGCCAAGTTCTGGTCTGGATCTCCAGCAAAGTTCTGCTTAGGATCTCCAGCCAGGTTCTGTCCAGGTTCTCCAGCCAGGTTCAGTAGCCAAGTTCCCTCGCTAGGTTCTCCAGCCAGGTTCAGATACCAGGTTCTAGTCAGGTTCTCTTGCCAATTTCTGTAGTCAGGTTCAGTCCAGGATCTTTTGCCATGTTCTCTCGCTAGGTTCTGTCTCTAGGTTCTGAGGCCAGTTTCTGTCCAGGATCTTTTGCCATGTTCTCTCCAGCGAAGTTCTTCTGTCTCTAGAGAACGTTCTGTGTAGGTTCTGTGCCTAGGTTCCGTCTCTCCTCGTTCTGTCTTCTTACATCTGTATTTATACCAGTTGATTCCAATCCTATCAATCTCTATTTCAAAGGTTAGGGCGTTTCTTATCTCCATTCCAGGGAGTAAAGATTATGTAGCTTAAGCATGATTGTTCGTAGTTAAAGTGATTAATTACCCACCTGGCACTTAGTTAAGAGGTTTTATTCCCTCCCTAACTTCAGGGGAAAATCCCTACCTGGGGAAACAACCTTTCTCAGAGAGGTGACCTTGGTTAAAACACATAGTGCCAAGAAGGTGAGCAAACATTAAGAACAGTATGCCATATATGCCAGGTCCCTTGAAACAGCAAGCATGGACCGGCTCCCGGCACGTCTTCTTGCTGCTGCTGCTGCTCCCGGATCACCTGCTCGTCAATCTCCTGGACCACGCGGGAGAGCTGCTTGAAGTTGCGTAAGATCTTGCCATTTAGCAGCTGGATGCGGCGCATGAGATGGATCTCTAACGTCCCGATGGAGTCTCCCATGATCTTCGTGACCCTAGCATACTTCACATGGAAGCTGAGCATGGCAATACTTAGGCCGATGGTATCGTATTTGCCGTGGAAGAGGCCTGGCCTGATGAGGTCGTCCGTGTGGCTCGGCGGGAGGTAGACACGGCGGTAGGTCCAACAGTCATACAGCTGGCTGTGCTCCTGCACCAGCACCATGCAGCGGTAGGTCAGCCAGTCATACAGCCGTCTGTCCTCCTCCAACAGCACCAGCCCCCCGTTCTCCCCTAAGCCGCCTTGGTGAATCCTTTCGGTGGTCTCTCTTGATCCATTGGATGCTGAACCTGTCCTTCTGAATCTGCATGTGGCGGCTGTGGGAAAAGCTGTAGAAGTTGTCCATGTACTCCACCGTGGCTGATTTCCTCTCCGTCAGGCGAATTCTAAACGAGGGCTCGAATTGCATTGGGCCATACACATGGGTGTTAAGGGAAGGCCTGTACGTCCAACCAGTAATGCATAAGCCATCCACCATTACATTCAGCAGTCCTCTATAGCTATCATCTAGCTGCCACAAACCCAAAATGTTTCTGTATGGGAACATCTTCGCATAGACTTCTCGATAAGACATACTGATCATCTCCAAGTTCTGCAAGTTTTCATGAATGCCATACTCCTCCCTGCAGCCGTCTCCAGATGCTGTCAATGTGCAGGATGTGGTGGAATTTGGTGCAGGCCTGGGCCAGGCTGGGCAGGTCAGTCCCGGGGAGCAAGGCGAAGATCTCCACCAGCATCTCCACCGGCGGGTCCTGCAGGGAGCAGTGAGGGGGTGGCATGGGGCTCGCAATTCCTCCACTCCCCGGACAGCACCGCGCTGCCACATCTGCCTCGAGATGCTTTTCTGCCGGGCCGGCTTGCCATCGGCTGCTGCCTTCTCAGCTGGGCCCTGGCACTCCTGGCGACACCGACATCCCCGTGAAGAGCCCAAGCTGCAGAGGCAAGCGCACTCCTCCATGCTTCCACGTGTAACAGCCCCCACAGCGTGGGCCACAGGGCCTCAGCAGGGTTATAAGCTGGCTCGGTCTGCTCTAGAGTCCAGCCATGCCCCCCAAGGCCTAGCCATGGCCCCTCAGAAAGGAGCCAATTGTAGGACTTTAAACCCATACGCATTAACAGTCTCCTCCCTTTCCCAGTGCCCCCTCCCTGTCCTCCCACCCTAGCCCCAGGCAGTCACTAATCTGCTTTCTGTAGGGATATACCTCCAGGGATATGCGGGGGGGGCGGGGGGGGGGTGGGGGGGGGGGCAGACATTTCACAGGAATGCAGTCAAAATAAAAAAACTGTGGTACATCTACATAATGGAACATAATGGAATACTACGCTGTGGTAAAAAAAGAAGGAACTCTTGCCATTTGCAACAGCATGGATGGAACTGGAGAGCATTATGCTAAGTGAAATTAGCCAGAGAAAGATAAATACCACATGATCTCACTCATTTGTGGATTATAGAGAACAACATAGACTGATGAACAGGGACAGAACCAAAGACTGAGAAACAGCAATCAGACTATCAATCCCCAGAGGGAAAGTAGGGGAGGGCGGGGGTAAGGGGGAGAGACCAACCAAAGGACTTGTATGCATGCATATAAGCCAAACCAATGGACATGGACAACAAGGGGATGAGAACATGAGGGGGGGGGGGGGAGGTTGGGGGTTAATAGGGGGATGAGGACACATTTGTAATTCCTTAACCAATAAAGAAATTAAATATTAAAAAATAAAATAAAATAAAAAACACTCATGAGAATGTTTAAAAATTGGACCCCTTGCACATTGCTGGTGGAAATGTAAAATAGCGGGGCCACATTGGAAAATGAGAGTCACCAGATGGCCCAGAAGTTCCACTTCTAGGTACATACACAAAAGAAATGGAAACATGTTCACACAAAAAAACTTGTACACAATGTTCATAGCGGCATTATTCATAAGAGCCTCAAACCAGAAACAACCCAAATACTCATCAACTGATGAATGGGTAAACAAAATGTGGTATATCCATATTACAAACTTTAAAAGTTTATCCCTTTGACTGTTTTTTTCCTTCTCAAAATCTAGCCTAAGAAAATTGTCATAAATTATAGATATTTGTATTTCACAATATAATTTGTGGTAGCAAAATGGGATATATTATTAGTATATAGTAAAAGAATAATTAGATAAAATATAATGCAGGAAATAATTTTTCTTTTTAAACATCATTTGACATGAAAAATGCTGTAATTCAAAGAAAAATTTTAAAACAAAGTGTAAATTATTTCTGCAATGTGACCCAAATTATACATTTAAATATGTGTATATATAGAAAAAAGGCTGGAAATATATATGTATATATAAATAGATATAGATATATATCACTGATTATTTCCGGGAAATTTTAAATTTTTTCTTATACTTTGAATAATTTTAAAAATTCACATTACTTTTATAATCAGGAAACTATTTTAGTTAAAAATATATATATACAAAATTTATATATATTTATATATATATATATATATATATATATATACATACATGTATGTGTGTGTGCTTAAACATTAATGCAATCCAGCAACCCACTTACAAACTACATGATTAATCTTTTTCTTAGTTGGAATTCTATCTAATAAAAGAGAAACATGGTAATTGGCGTACAACCGCTACCCTTCCCATTGGCTAATCAGCAAGAAATGCAAATTAACTGCCAGCCAAGATGGCGGCTGGCAGCCAGGCAGCTTGAAACTACATGAGGCTTCCTTGCTTCAGTGACGGAGGAAACCAATGTTCCCCGCCTGCCTTGCCGGCCTATGAGCCTGCAGTTTAAGAAACATTATAACAAATATAGAAGCTAAACAAAACCCCAGAAACCAGCTTTCAGCGAGCTGGGATCTCAGAGCTGGAGTTATATATTATTTCCATTATAGAACCTAAACAAACCAGATACCTTCTTTCAGCAGCAGAGGCCTCAGAGCTGGAGCCAGAGCTAAAGCTGGCCCAGAATAAAAAAGAAAAAGAAAAAAAGGAGCAGTTGGGAGCTTCAGTCAGCCTGAAAACAGCCCTCAGCCCCTCACCCAGACCTGCCAGGCACCCCAGTGGGGACCCCCACCCTGAAGGGTGTGTGACCAGCTGCAAACAGCCATCATCCCCTCATCCAGGCTGGCCAGGCACCCCAGTGGGGACCCCCACCCTGATCCAGGACACCCTTCAGGGCAAACCAGCCGGCCCCCACCCGTGCACCAGGCCTCTATTCTATATAGTAAAAGAGTAATATGCCTCCCAGCACAGGGATCAGTGGAACGCGAGGCCTCACGGCACCAGGATCAGCATGACAGGGGGCAGCGCCCAAACCCCCTGATTGCCCTGTGGCTCTGGGTGTGACAGGGGGCGGGGCCACAACCTCCCTATCGGCCCTGCTCTGTTCCTGACAGGGGAAGGTGCCCCAACCCCCTGATCGGCCCTGCTCTGTGCCTGATGGGGGGAGCTCCCCAACCCCCTGATCGCCCTGCGGCTCTGTGTGTGACAGGGTGCAGCGCCCCATCCTCCCCCCCCCCGACGGGCCCTGCTCTGTGTGTGACGGGGTAGAGCAGGGGTGGGCAATCTTTTTGACTCGAGGGCCACAATGGGTTCTTAAACTGGACCGGAGGGCCGGAACAAAAGCATGAATGGAGTGTTTGTGTGAACTAATATAAATTCAAAATAAACATCATTACATAAAAGGGCATGGTCTTTTTTTTTTTTTAGTTTTATTCATTTCAAACGGGCCGGATCCGGCCCGTGGGCCATAGTTTGCCCACGGCTGGGGTAGAGCCATAACCTCCCCATTGGCCCTGCCCTGAGTGTGAGAGTGGCGGCACCCCAACCCCCTGATCTGCCCTGCTCTGTGTGTGACAGGGGGCGGTGCCCCAACTCCCCTATCGGCCCTACTCTGTGAGTGACAAGGGGGAGCTCCTCAACCCCCTGATGGGTCCTGCTCTGTGCGTGACAGGGGGGAGCTCCCCAACCCCTGATTGACCCTCCTCTGTGCATGACGGGGGCAGCGCCCCAACCCCCTGATCGGCCCTGCTCTGTACATGACAGGGGGTGGCGCTGCAACCTCCCCATCGACCCTGCCTTGAGTGTTACAGGAGGCGGTGCCCCAACCCCCCAATCGGCCCTACCCTGAGTGTGACTGAGGGTGGCATCGCAACCTCCCAATCTGCCCTGCTCTGAGCCCAACCAGGGGCTGCACCTAGGGATTAGGCCTGCCCTCTGTCACCTGGGAGTAGGCCTAAGCCAGCAGGTCGTTATCTCCTGAAGGGTCCCAGACTGCGAGAGGGCACAGGCTGGGCTGAGGGACCCCCCACACCCCCCAAGTGCACAAATTTTTGTGCACCGAGCCTCTAGTATATAATAAAAGTACCTAAGGCTCCTGTTGTTTATAAGAAATGGGGTATAGCAAGCCCACCACTGGTGAATCCATCACACAAAAAAGAAAGTCTTCTCCAACAGCACTATAAACCTCGTCTTCAGTGACAACTTTACAGTTTTGAATAGTTATTTGATTAAAATCCACCTCCCCCACTGGACTTAGAATTCCAGGAAAGCAAGACCTATGTACATGTTTGATCACTCAAGTAAGATCTGGAGCAAAGTCTCCTGGACAAATATTAAATGCTCAGTAAATTTTTTTAATCCTATCTAATAATAGACAAACATGGTAATTGACCATACCTTCGCTACACCTCCCACTGGCTAATCAGCGCGATATGCAAATTAACCGCCAACAAAGATGGCAGCTAATTTGCATACTGCAGGCAGGGCGGGACAGCACGAGCCACCAGCACAAGCCACCATCCAGGCCCCCGTGTGCAACCCCAGAAGCTGCCTGCCTGCCGCCCGGGACCGGATCCAATCCTGGGCCGCTGGCCGGCCCCAGAAGCCCCAGGAGCCGCTTGATATGGCAGTGACTCTATCAGTAAGCACTCTGAAAGTCAGTGGCATAAATGCACCAATTGAAAGACATATTATGAGGGTGAATCAAGAACAAAACCCACTTTATATATAAAGACACATATAGATTAAAAGTAAATGAATTAAGCTGAAGCCTGTTTTGCTCAGTGAATAGAGCAGTGATGGTGAACCTTTTGAGCTCGGCGTGTCAGCATTTTGAAAAACCCTAACTTAACTCTGGTGCTGTGTCACATATAGAAATTTTTTGATATTTGCAACCATAGTAAAACAAAGATTTATATTTTTGATATTTATTTTATACTAGAGGCCTGTTGCACAAAGAGATGCATGCAATAGGCCTTCCTTTCTTCTGCCTGCTGGCACCAGTTTGCCTCCAGCTCCCAGGGACCAGGCCTTCGCTCTGACCGAGTTCTGGCCAGAGCCGGCCCCGGAAACGTCAGGCCTCACTGCTCCACTGGCCCTGGGCCATCAGGCTTTGCTCCGCCGCTTGGAGTCTACCTATGCAAATTAACTGCCGTCTTTGTTGGCTTTTAATTTGCATATCATGCTAATTAGCCAATGGGGGGCGCAGCAAAGGTACGGTCAATTACCATGTTTGTCATTATTAGATAGGATATTTAAATGCCATTTAACAAAGAAAAATCAACCAAAAAAATGAGTTCGCGTGTCAGAGGTGACACGGGTGACACGGGTGTCATAGGTTCACCATCACTGGGATAGAGCATTAGCCTGTGGACTGAAGGGTCCCAGGTTCAAGGGCATGTACCTCAGTTGCTGGCTTGATCCCCAGTCCCTATCAGAGCATGTGCAGGAGGCAACCAATCAATGTGTCTCTCCCTTTCCCTTCACTCTCTCTAAAATTCAATGGAAAAATATCCTTGGGTGAAGATTAACAAAAATAAAGTAAATGGATTAAGTAACATTAAAGAGATTATAAGAAAAATATATTCCAAATTTTGTTAGTTGTATAATGGTTATGTTTAAATTATTAACACCTAAGAAATTGGGTGAAGGGTACATATAATA